TCGTTGGCGTACCCGTCCACTAGGCTTTCCACCTCTCGTGATGTGGTTTCAGTGCACAGTGGCGGCCCCTGGCGTTCAATGTGACCCAGTATACACTCCTTGAGTTTGTAGTAGTTGCTAAATGTTTTATTGTGAAAATAATAAGCTTGATATTTATAACTTTTATTATTCTTAAATTAAATCAATATAATACGAAAATAAAAATGGTGTATGAGTCAACATGTTAAATTCTTAAATATTTTATAACTTGTACTATTATGTAATTACTTTATTAACATTAAATAATGTATTTTAGTCATAGTTATTAAATCGTAACATAACATATTACTTAATAAAACATATAACTTACCAGCATGATATAGGTATTTTCATTTTAGCATCCTGGTAATTTTCAATGCCCTGTAGGCTATCGATGAATTGGCGCATGCACTTATCGACCAGGAATTTCAATTTGTTACCACACTTTCCTATGGCTATAAACGAGTCCTTACGGCGCTTAGTGGAACAGTAGGCCTTATTTGTTTTTGAAGCACCTAGATACACAAATATAATCATGATAAAATAGCTTATATTTACGTATGTAGACATACCGTAAGCCAGGACATTAGTCACTTGTTTGGGAAACGTTGCCAAACATTTAGCCGCATAATCTTTAATACACTTTTCTTGATTTTTATAAGTCCTAGAGTAAATTTAAAATATGCTTGGTAATAATTTGTAAAATGATAAAAAATTACATAGTTTACCTGCACTGTTTGTCCATGCTGGCCATATTTTCCGGGAACTTATAATCAGGGTCGCCAATCATGAGTAATTTCATCAAACACGAATCAGCATTTGCACCAGCTTGGCAATCCTTTTTAGTATTACCTTGGCCATTTGTTACGTGTAGATTGTTTGCGATACAAATTAATAAAACAATTAGTAAAAACATATTAGTCATATCAGGCATCTAGTCCAATATAATTTTAAAATAAATGTAGTATGTAAGTAAAATAGGATTTTATACAAATATACAGTTCCCGTAGAATATTATTTTAAAATAAAAATTATTGGGAAATCTAGGCAATTAATTTTTACAATAAAATCGCCATTAGCAATTTAAATGAGTATGTAAAGTATGAATGTACTAAGATACTAAAATATATTTTGTAAGTGTCTATCATTATAGAATTTAAATAATATGTCCATTGAATGGTAATATTTCCAGAATTTCCCTTTTTATGTTTACCACAAAAAAAATATTTTTAATGTAATAATGATTATAATAGTATTATTGATGTCTTAATATTTTAAGTACTGTATAATATTATTATGAAACTTACTTCTACAGTCTACTAATAATTTTATTTACCTTTCATAGTGTATAGAATTTTTTATATGTATAATATTTAATTTTTCATTTGCAATATTATTTTTGAATTATCACACCAGAGGCAATTCAAATAACAGAGTTAACGAGCTAGATAATGTTGATTGATAATATTTATTATATATAATTATTATTTCTAATTACAATAAAGTAATTTTAAATATTAAAAATTATATAAGTACTTATGTAAACAGTAAGCATGCTCATTCAAACAATCATTTTTGCATGTTTATAACATTTACAGTGTCACACGTACAACATAATATCCCAGATTTAATATTTATTTAAAAATATAACCCAGTATAATTATTTCGGCACCGCACTCAATATATTAATAAATGGCGGTAGGATAGATTTAGGTTGTTTTTGAGCCGGCAACTTTTTGGGCGTTTTAGGCAGCAATTTGACGCATTTGTCAGACTCTTCCGTATAATCGCCGCAAACAAGGCTTAAGACTTCGCTGGCGTAACCGTCCACTAGATTATCCATTTCCTCGACGTTACTATCGGGACACAGGGGCGGACCCTGGCGCTCCATATGATCCCGTAGACATGCTTTAAATTTGTGAAAGTTGCTAGATAGTTGTATAGATACTAGTTGTAAGTTTATGAATTCAATTTTTTAACAATGTCACAGTTTAGCTAGTTTATTAATTGATTTGATTAAGAACTATTACTAATATTAAAATGAATTGAATGACCAGTTATAAACTAGTGTTGCGATTAATATAATAATAATTATTTATGCAAGTCCTGTCACTGCTATTATCACAAACTATGACATTG